CGCGGGGCTGCCACGCGGCGCAGAGGCGTGCCGTGCGGGCCGGGGGCGGCTCACCACCGGACGGACTGACGCGGACAGACAGGCAGGCCGGAAACGTGCGAAAGTCACTTCCCCGCGGGCACCCAGTACGACTCGCTCTCCCGTTCTTGTTCTTTTTCTTCTTTTGCTCTTTTTTCTTTTCTTTCTTTTTTTTTTTTAGGTTTTTAGGCTTTTTTGTAATTTTTTTAAGCTTTTTCTCTTTTTTGCTTCAGGCTTACTGAGCCTGAACGCAGCACAAGCTGCTGCGACCCGGGGCGGAGAGAGGCGGCCGGAGCAGCCACCGCTCCATTTATACCCGCCCGCCCCGGGCGCTGCTGGTCGAAGGGCGCCTCGCGACCTGGGCGCAGTCGTGCCCGCCCACTCTGCCCGGGGGCCCAAGGCGGGGCGGCCACACGAGATGACCTGGAGCCGCGGCGAGGCGCCACAGCGACCCCTGGCGTGCGGAGGACCGACCGCTCGCACCCGCCGAAGAGTCTCCTCAACACCCGTTATCCGGAATGGAACCCACGTAGCCAGAACGTTAAAAAAAAACAGCCACGAGACCGGGCAGTGGTGGCACAGGCCAGCCTGGTCTAAAGAGCGAGTTCCAGGACAGGCCTCAGAGCTACAGAGAAACCCTGTCTCGAAAAACTAAAATAAATAAATGAATAAATAAATAGCCACGAAATGCCTATTTAGGGACGCTAAATTACAGTTAATAGGTGGCCCACTAAATGGTTGAGCTGAATACACAAGACATACTGAAGTTTTGAGAACATATAACCTTAAGGTTGGATTGTGGAGGTCACTGAGTTCCAGGCCGGCCTGGTCTACAGAGTGAGTTTCAGGATAGTCAGAACTATACAGAGAAACCCTGACTCCCAAAACCAAAACCAAAACAAGCCCAGCACTCAGGAGGCAGAGGCAGGCGGATCTCTGTGAGTTCAAGGCCAGCCTGGTCTACAAGAGCTAGTTCCAGGACAGGCTCCAAAGCTACAGAGAAACCCTGTCTCGAAAAACCAAAACAACAACAACAAAACCCAAAAACAAAACAAGCATTTATATAGCATTTGATCCCTCCTCAGAGAAGTCAGCCCAGACCACCCAGCCATTTAAAGTAGCTCACCAACATTCATAATCATGATTACATCATCACAGTTTCTTTAGTTTAAAATTTCTAAACCAAAAAAATATGCTGTTCAAACAAACGCTGAGCACCCATGAAGCCAAAACTTTGAACCCTGAATCTGCCCAGGTGTGGTGACACAGGGCTCTACCCGACTACACCTTCAACACTTAGGAGGCTGAGTCAGGAGGACTGAGAGTTTGAGGATCACACACAGTGAGTGCAGTAGGGTCCTGTCTCAAAAACTTATATACACACATAAATATTACCTGGGCTGTATATGATCAGTGTATGTGAGCGTGTGTGTAAAACCGGAAACACCAGTCTGAGGATGGAGCTATGCTGTAGAATGCTTGTGTCACGTGTACAATCCCCAAAATCTTATAAAAACGGGCACAGTGGCCAGCCTGAGCAAGATGAGAAAAGAAAGAATGTAGAGAAAATGTCAGTGAACCCAGGCTTGGAGGACACCTCCTAGTTCTTGGAGGCAGAGGCAGGTGGATCTCTGTGAATTCGAGGCCAACCTGATCTACAGAGTGAGTTCCAAAACAGCCAGGACTGTTTCACAGAGAAACCCTGTCTTGAAAAACAAAATAAAAAAGATTCAGGCCTTATACCTAAGATATATTTATCTGCAAATATTACAAAATCTGAGAAAAAGGAAGGGTTCAATACACTCTGGTCTCAAGCATTTTGCCTATTTCCTTATTTAGTGTCTGTCTCCCCCCCCCCAAAGTTTCATGGTAACAAGAACATAAAATGGCATCTAACATGGCACAGACTAAATGTTCAATCCATATCTGTTAAATAAACACATGAATTCAAGGCATAGAGAAGCAAAAGCCACATGTTCTTATGCTCAGGACTGCCTAGGTGGTATGACTGTCACCGAGCTAGCTGGCATCTTGGTTTTTAACCCCTAATAAAGTCTGTTAACACAAGGGTTGGAGAGATAGTTCAGAGGTCAAGGACACTTGCCGCTCTTACAGAGGACCTGGGTTTGATTCCCAGCATCCATATGGCAGTTTCTAATCTCCCCTAACTCCAATACCAGGGGATCTGAGGTTCTCTTCAGGCCTCTGCAGCACCAGGCATGAACACAGTACATGCACATTACAGGTAGATACTCACATAAATACACAGAAAATAAAAATAAATCTTAAAAATTCCTTCAAAGTCTATTAAACACAACAGGAAAATATAAGTACATATAAACTCTTTGCATAGATATTAAAAGTACTGTAGAAGATCATTGTGGTGCCTACCTGTACTCCCAGGACTTGGGAGGCAGAAGCATGAGGCTCTGTCTGAGTTCGTGGCCATCCTGATCTATATAGTAAATGCCAGAGAGACCCTGTTTCAAAAAAAAAATTTAAACCATCTAGGACTATATAGCGAGACCTTGTCTCAGGAAGTGGGGAATAGGTAAATAAATAAGGGGCTGAAGAAATGGTTCATCAGTTAAAAGCACTTGTTCTTGCAGAAGACTTGGGTTCAGCTCCTGACAGCTTCATTGTGCTAACAACCATCTGTAACTCCAGGTTCGGGAGATCTGACACCTTCCTTTGGCATCCTAGGCACAAGGCACAGATGTGGTACACATACACACATGGGCAAACATTTATACACGTGAAATCAAAAAATAGATCTTAAGAAAATAAGTAAATGAAACCGGGTGGTGGTGGCATACTCTTTTAATCCCAGCACTTGGGAGACAGAGGCAGGCAGATCTCTGTGAGTTCAAGGCTAGCCTGGTCTATATGAGCTAGTTCTAGGACAGGCTCTAAAGCTACCGAGAAACCCTGTCTCAAAAAACAAACAAACAGGGGCTGGAGAGATGGCTCAGAGGTTAAGAGCATTGCCTGCTCTTCCAAAGGTCCTGAGTTCAATTCCCAGCAACCACATGGTGGCTCACAACCATCTGTAATGGGGTCTGGTGCCCTCTTCTGGTCTGCAGGCACACAGACAGACAGAATATTGTATACATAATAAATAAATATTTAAAAACAAACAAACAAAAAAGTAAATGAAAGTTATGAGTGTGAAGCTAAGAAAAGGTGGGAAGTTCTAAAGTGAAGGCAGAGGGAGCAACATGAGTGGGGATGGGCTCCTGTGAGCCTGTAGCCACGAGTCGGGGTGGGTGCCTGTGAGCCTGTAGCGGTGGGTGCCTGTGAGCCTGTAGCCACAAGTCGGGGTGGGTGCCTGTGAGCCTGTAGCCTTGTGTGGGGTCCAGGATGACATGAAGAACCTTGGACTTTATCCCCAAGATCAAAGAACAAAGCTGAAGGATTTTTTAAAGGTTAAGTGTCTTGGCTAAAATTATGTTAAAAATAAATAAATAAATACAAGAACTCTGACTTTGAAAGAAAAACGGGTTGAAGGATTGGACTAAGGGGAGATAGGGTGATCCCCCCGACCAAGGAGATCAGCAGGTAGTGATTAGGGAGGCGAAGGAGGTCCTCTTCCTTTGCTTTTTTTCTGTCTTGCTGTTATTGGTGGTGGTGGTGGTGGTGTGTGTGTGTGCACGTGTGGTTTCCTGTGGGTGTGTTCACATATGCACATGGAGGTCACAGGTTCACATTAGGTGTCCTCTTTGATTTCTTTTTGCCTTTAGAAAATGTATTTATATGTTCATGTTTACACATGTGTGCACCCCTAACTCTAAGTTAGAGCGCAGCTTGCAGATGCCTTTCCGCCATGCCTGGCCCAGGGATTCAGCTCAGGTTTGGCAGCAATGCCTTTCCTGATAAGCCATCTTCCATCCTATGACTTCATTCTCTGAGACAAGGTCTCTTGTTGAATCTAAAGCACATAGATTTAAAACAGACTAAAGGTTGGCCAGTGAGTTTCAGGGCCATTCGAGACATGAACTCAGGTTCTCATACTTGTCTGGTATCCATTTTGCCAACCCCCAGAAATTTATTGATTAAAGATACATTTAAGCAAGGTATGGATGCTATAACCCCAGTAGCTAGGAAACTGAAGCAAACAGATTGCTGTGAGTTCAAGGTCATCTTGGATGCTATCTCTCTCTCTCTCTCTCTCTCTCTCTCTAAGACAGTATTTAGAGAGTAGAATTTGTGATTAATTTGCATGAGGGAAAGGAGAGAGAAGAGTCAAGGATGGCTCCCAGATTTAAGGGAAATCTGAAATACAGGATCTCAGCTGGGTACAGTGGCACACACCTTTAATCCAAGCCCTTGGGGAAGCAGAGGCAGGAGGATCTCTCTACATAGTTAATGCCAGGATAGGGAAGACTACATAGAGATCTTGTAGACACACACGTTTAACCCAGCACTTGGAAATCTGTTGGCCTGCAGATTTCTGAGTTCAAAACTAGCCTGGTCTACAAGAGTGAATTCCAGAACAACATCCAAGGCTACAGATAGAAACCCTGTCTGAAAAAAAGAAACAAACGAACAAACAACAGCATAAAATATCAGTCTCCTC